AGTGCCAGAAGCAAGCAAGTCACCTGCAATTTCACACCTGCCATTGCTGCTTTCATGGCAGCTGGCAAGGCGAGAAGTTGATGAAGGTCCCACTTGGCTCAGGCTGAAAGTCAAAGTAACTGTTGGGCTTTTCAGGGAATGTCCTTCCCTGAAGTAGAAAGGCAGGTAGAAAACCTGCTGGCAGCTGCCCGGGGGCATCTGCTGCCTTGCTGAGGAAACATTTGTGCTTTTTGCATGCTGTCCTGTTCTTGGCAGCAGCTTTCCTGAGTTGGAAAAACCACTGGCCATCATCACCTGTGGAAACACTTTCTGGGCTGTGGATTTCTTTATCACCACTGGAGCCACAGCTGAACTGTGTTAGCCAAGTCTGCCTCCCTTCTAGGTGAGATTTAATAGTGCCAGGTGAGTAGCGATAACCATCCAGCAGATTTTGACTCCACTGGTCAAATCTAACCTGCAATTTTGCTTGTTTCTCACTACAGGCATGCAAGAGAGAGGCCTTAAACCAGGCTAGGGAGCTCCACAGTACAACTGTGCAAACACTGTGAGAGGCTGGGCTCTGATGCCTGCTTTTCTGCCCTCCACCAAGCTTCTGCTGCCTGCTACCAACAGGAGGATGGCTTGTTTGTCCATGGGCAAGCCCATGCTGGATTTCTCATTTGATATGAGGTCTGGCTCTTAGGGAACAGTGATCCTATGGACCTTTCTGTCCCTGACCAAGAGCTCACCATGACAACTTGCTCCTCTAGGTCTAGGGGCTGAAGACCCCTCACCAAATACCCACTACCGGCCACATATTACCAGCATGCTCAAGCCAAGAGGAGGGAGCCAGCCCCTTGCAGAAACCAGAGGAATCCAAACAGGAGCAGGACTCAGGACAGAAACCAGACTCACAGAGGCTTGGGTATGTCACAGATTGCACAGACATTGTATGTTGCAGTCTGGCCTCCTGGCCCTAATACCCTCTGACAGCTCCCAGAGCTGGAGCTGAGCAGGTTAGTGATTTGATCACAACAACAGCTCCTGCAGGAGCTGCTGCTTCCAAGTCCCTGCTGCCAGTGCTCAGCAAAGCACGCAAGGAGCTGCAAAGATGTGCGGTCTCCAGAGCCTGTAGCAGCAACTTATCTTTGTGAGTGAAGAACTGCCGGCCAAATGCTGGGTCCGCTCCAGCCCTTGAAAACTGGAGCTCTGGAAGGCAACTTAAGCCAGGCCCTGGTAAATGACTGCTTGTTTGACGGCTAATTGCTTATGAAAACAGAAGGCACAAACCCAATCCAGGCAGGTCGTATACTGCTCATATCAGCAAGGGCCACAGAAACACCCACCCCAAATCAAACACTACCTGTCTGTTTGAGACTTTAAGTGAAATTTTGTTTCTAAGTCCCCTTCTGTCAGACTGCAGATGTAAAAAGCTAAAGCCACCCGTGCAGCTCAGTTCATCAGGAATGTGTTAAGTTACACCACAAAAACCATCCCCTTGCCAAGCAGCAAACACACAGAGCTGTGAAAGGACATGCGTGCCTCCCAGTTAATGTCACTTTCACAGCTTCCATAGGTCACGACACAAGCAGACATCCGCTCCAAAATAAGATGCCAGGCAAAACACAGATCCCACTTTGAACAATGCCACAGGCCCAGGGAGAGCTGAGGAATTTAAGGAAAATGGAACAACAGGAAATAAGGAAAGTCCCTCCAGTAAAGACCCTGTGGCCCTTCGGTGGTCGCAGAGCACTGCACCCTATAGAGGAGAGACACAACAGAGTTACTAACTGACCGCATGGCAGCTAGCATTCCCATGGCCTTTCTTGCCAGCACGGGAACTATAGAAACACCAAACAACAGAAGAGGTGTGTTCACAGGCACTGCAACAGAGACACGTCCACTGCAAATAAAATGACTTCCTGAAGACTCTAGAGGCCTGGACACACCATACCATCACAACTAGTAATTCATATCCTGGAGCAGGAAAAAACAATGCCAGAACAGGACCAAGAATCAAGCAACCTGGACAAGCACAGGCTAGAGTTTTGCCTGTGCCCTGGACTAACATGAATTATGAGGATAGATGTAACCTGTAACTCATTGCAAGAAAGAAGAGCGCCTTCAGGGAGTCTTTGGCCTAGGGGATATATGGGAGAGACAGAGGACTAATCCCACCCTAATGTAGTCTTTTTTTTTCTGCCTCTAGAAGTCACAAGGGAGGAAGGCTCGGAGAAAGAGAGGGTGTAATTTATAGTCTCTCTTCTGGTAATAAAGCCCTTGTAAGATCCCAGGAAAGTCTGCTAGAAACACCAGCTCTGGTCAGGAAAGGAGAAGCTGGGCTGCCCTGACTGCAGCAGGGTAGGAGCCACGCTGGCCTGACCAGCTCTCTCCAGAGGATGCTACAGGGCCATGCATGTAGAGGACAACAACAAGGACAGGCTGGGGGACCCATGTGGTGGTTTAGCTCTCAAAACAGCTCCTGCAGGGATTCAGAGCAGGGCGTTTCGGGCTAATCTCTACATCCCCTCAGGGAACCTGAAGGATTACTGTTCTACATCTGCTCACACTGTTGGGCCCCACCTTGTCAAGGCGGGGGAAGCACTGACAGTCGCTCTCAGTTCTTTAATCGGTTTGGGATAAACAGCAACGGGCCCTGTCCGCTGTGGCACAGCACCTCTTAATTGACTCCCTTGCTCACAGGCCTGACAGCATCTCCTGAGCCTTGCCTAGGGGAGGAATGCATCTCATGGCTTATCATCAAGGGCTGGTTCCTGGCAGCAGCTACAGAGAGCCACAGTGCAGCTTCCTTAGCTATGTCAGGGATTGGGGAAGGGTGGCCACAGGAAAGTCTGGCCATCACTGGCACCTAGCCAACACTAGCCCATGGCAGTCTTCGGCTACAGCCCAAGCCAGGGTGGGAGTGAAGGTCCCTAGACAGCAGTCACCACTAATCCCCAGAGCTGTGCTTTCATCTGTTAGCCCATGGTGTCCCCCACTCAGCTAACTTCCCAGCAGAAAGGGCTGCTAAAGACCTGCATGGGCTGAGGGGTTTGTGCTGTTAACTATGCACCAAGATCACCTACTTGCTTCTCTTTCTGTCCTCCTCTCCCTCCTGAGCATGCCTCTTGCAAAGCCCACTGCTGGTCCAAGCACCTGCGTTACAGGACACATCGCTGAGCCTTCCTCCTTCCTTTCAGGACTTGGGATGGTGGTTTGAGGTCCAGCTCTGGCTGCGCTGGCTCCCAGGCAGTCAGTGCCATCTGCTGGCTACTCTTTCCTTGGCTGCTCTGAAAACATGGAAAGCTAAATGAGGGACAGCCTTGCTATTTAACCAGTCTGCCCCCAACCCCTCACATTCTGCTGCTGAAGCCGTATACCACAAGGCTCACCTAAATTATTTAGATTATGTACATTTCAAAAAGGGAGCATTACATTTAAAATATTTTATTAAATACTGTTACAAATAGGACAATACATCAGATGCTAAGTCAGATATTTAATTTATTATTATAACTTAAACATAACTTATTAAGAAAGACCTCATTTAAAGTCTTAACAGCTTAATAAATCATACTTGCAATATATATACACATATACACACACAAATCTCAGGCTTCCATTTTATTTGTAAATAATGTGCAGGCATGAAATCCTTTCAAACACCTCTGAATTATTTTAAAATTACCTGGGCCCAGATCAATGGCCACAGACCTACTCAGGAACAGGTATTTTACAATACATTTACAGTTAACAGCACAGAAATATCCACAGTAAAAATCGCACAATTAAATATTTATGTATACACCTGTATTACAGTGCATAATCCCACAGGGATGAGATCATTTCAGATCTACTTGCTGCATTCAGAAACTAGAGTACCTGGTATAAGCACTATGATTCCTAGTGCTATTACAAAAAAAACCACAAACTTTAAGGTCCCTAAGCTTTCTGGGACATGGAGCAGAAACCCAAATAATTGCCCATATCACTACAGGCATATTCATTGACTGGGCCATCCTCTTAAAATAAAACAACTTCAACAATAAACCAGATCAATGCTATTCAGTGAATATTTTTCATCCTGATTATTCTGTTTCTGCAAGTATAACTCATATGCCTCCAGAGAAGACATCTCCAGCAGTGTAGTAAGTGATGTGAAATAATGCATGTCTTCACCTCACCTAGGTACCTTTGAGTAGACCAGAGGAGAAACCAGCCTCCTCTTTAGGCAGCAGCTTACTATTTGCTCACCATCTGGACAAGGGATGGCAAGCTCCCAGTTACGATAACTACATGACTGAATGCAGACAGTATTTTGCCAGAAGGCCAGAGTTTTACTCTCTGCTTGTCTTCAGTGGAAATACCAGACAGCTTGAGTTCAAAATTTCTGGGAAATATGCAAGGTCAATCATGTTGTCAGCAAGAGGTAAAAACATCTGGATAGCTGCTGATGTGCATGCAGTTTCATTCTCCAGAAATGTGAGACATAAGTAAAGATGGCTTCAATTCCTGCAGAGAGAACAAAATTCCTATATAAATTTGAAAATTGGCACAGACTTGTATTTGCTCTCATTTCAGAGGAATTTTGCATGCAGCAGGTAGCAAAAACATGCCAAAGTGTTCCTAATACTATGTGCAGCTGGACAGAACGCAAAGCACAGTCATCCTCAAGGAGATGAAGAACCATTTCTAAAGCAATAAATCCATCAGTCTTGTTAGGAACTTTCCTGCAATGCCAAGATGCACGTTAGGTAGCCCAAAGCACATACTGCTATTTCAGCAATTGTATGGCAATGAACAATGAAGAGAATTTGTGAGTGCAGCTATCTCATGTGCTTACCTGAAACATCTGGAGTTAGACATTCTGGCCAGCACTTTGGAAGCTACCTTCAATGGTTAGGCTCTGGCAGCTACTATAAAAAAGAGAAATGAAAAGTACTTTAATGACAACTGGTTTACATCAAATGGATTTTAGCAAAGTGATTACAGTGTTTTTCATACTGATTTTGAAACACAACTTACCTGGAAGGAATAAACTTCTTTGCTGCAAGAAGAATGAGAAAAGGCTATTAGAATTTCAAGGTGAAAGCCCCCTCATGCAAACTTTTTCTTCTACTAAAAAATGACTAATTTCTGAATATCTGATAAAAAGCCATTATCTAGCAACAAAACTCACAGGCAGTTATTACTGTGTTGTCACTAGCCCCATCTCAAATTCCCATTCATTTTCCCTGCCAGTAATTACTGATAAATAGAATCTTGATTTTTCCTTCAAACTCTTGTTTTCCAAGCATTTGGTTTTTACTATCTTTGATTTTTAAATGTTCATCAAAAAGCCAAACATAGCATGCATGCAGGCTTCTTGAAAATTATTTTGGCATTTAAGTACAGGAATTTTCACTTTTTCAAGAAGGAAGGTATTGAGGTTTGGAGGTAGGTTTTTCCTCCACTGAAAATTTTTCAGGAAGGTAAATAAAACCAGCGAACCCAGTCTCACTGCTCACCTTTTCTTCGTAAACATCTTGCAAGCCAAAGGAGGAATGATGCTGTGGACAACAAAGAGGCACTTGTGGCTGCTATGCCCACAGAGACATAGCTGGCTTGTTCAGAAGCTGAAAGGACGAAAAAGTTTCAGTGAGATCAAGAGGCATGCGAGGTCTTTGAAGCCCTTTCTACTTCTTCCTTTCCCTTGTGCTCTTCAAGGGGAACCAGAATTGCAGCTTGTGACCCTTAAGTTTTCTCTTGCAGATACAGGATATCCTGTACACAAGGTAAAAAGCTGCATATGAAAAATTATCGCAGCCATTGGAAAGTAATGGCAAGGCAACAAGCTACCTATACCAGGGTCTGTCTAACCTCTAGCCTCACATGACAATTTATGCTCATCTTTTATTTTTAAGTCTCAGTTAATATTTTAATTCCCACTGTGCTGTCTTCCTCTTTGAGTGATCCTGCTGAGATCAATGAAATTATTCAAGGATCTAAATTCTGCTCAAGCAAAAGAAGTGGAGTTGAGATTTTACGCCCTCAAGCAAAAGCATTTCAGGCAGGCCAAGTATGTTCCCACTGAGGGCAGGGACAGAGCTCTTACTGTCTTGAATGGGAGGGCAAGGCTGAGACTTCTGTCCTGTAAAATTACAGCCTTTGACAGAAAAACTTTGTGAGGTCTTCTGGCTGAGGAGTTCACCCAAGAAAACTATCACACCAAATTAAAAAAAAATAAAAAATCTATAAACTTTCCCACTGAGAAACAGACTCATGAAAGTAGATTTCCCCATAAGGTTCTGTTTCTTCTAGAAAAGCTCTTTATTTATATGAAAAAAGCACAACATGAGAAATATTTTAATTAAGAACCAAACCAACCAACCCAACATCAGGTTTGGTTTTCGATAAGAAATCAGCATATTTCACCAAATTTCAGGAATTTTTCACCCTTCTATTTTCAAAAAACATACTGAGAGATTTTGTCAGGCTTTTGAATTCGTGGACTTCACTAGAAATTCTAGCTTACTGTTTGGTGTATCTCCTCCACCCTTCCATTCCTCATTTGACTAGAAACACAGTGCCACCTCTCTGTGGCTAGGCACAGGTCAAATACCTTCACATGTGGGCAGACTAGCACTCCAGTTTCCTGAATGACTGCACTCCAGAACATGAGAACCGTTGAGCCTCCATCCTTCTAGACAGCTGAAGTGGCAGGCTGTGTTGTACGTGAAGTTCCCAGCACCATGTAAGCAATCCATAAAGCCTTTCTCAGGAGAGCTCAGTGGTTCACACTGTACAACTGAAATTCAGAAAGAAATGGTTAAGAGTCATTAAGGACCTTCCTGTCTTTGGCTCTATTTTTTGCACTGGTAGATGTACATTGTATTTTCAAATTCATTTGACTTTGGGATTGGGACAGTGCACAGAGTCATGAGCAGGCACTTCTAAGGCAGGGCAAGTCACAGCTGAAAACACGAGAGGCAGCAGAGTTTAGTTTGGAGCCAGAACCCTATAGGAATATGGATTTCAGTGTGCTATCCAATGACAGAAAGCTGTACTTTCCAATCCAGAAAGTCTTACCTTTACATTTTGGCACCGGCTCTGACCACTGTCCCTCCGCTGTGCACTCAATGCTGGATGGGCCATCCAGAACATAGCCCTCACTGCAGTGGAAATGACAACCTGAGCGATAGGTGAGATCTGCAGGAGCATGGTCACAGGTCACAGAGCCTTCCTCTGGCCAGGTTACAGCCTCACACCTCACAGCTGCAACACACAGATCACAACAAAAATTAGCACAGATGCCTCAAGAATTCAGCATGCCAATGCCGACAAGCCCAAGTGCCCAGGTGAGCAGGGATGAGGAAAGGTACCTGCACAGGATGGCTGCTGCCTGTCCCAGGCCCCAGAAGACCCACACTGCAGTGTGGCTGGTCCTGTCAGGGTAAAGCCTTCCTCACAGGTGAACTCACAGGTAGTACCCCAGGTGAGCTCCACAGAGGGATGGGAGCAGTTCACAGCACCATGAGCAGGCATTTCTAAGGCAGGACAGGTCACAGCTGAAAAATACAAGAGACAGAACAGAGCTTAGCTTGGAATAGGTCGAGGTAAACACTCTTTGAGCTGACACAAGGACATGCCCTGTCAGGAGCTGTCCCCTACAGGGCCACAGTACCTCCCTTCAGACCTAGCAATGTCTCAGGAAACAGGGATTTTAAGCATGCTCCATAGTGCAGCCAGAACCTGTAAACATGCACCTAAAACATGCAGGCTACCCTGTGACTGGATCCAGATTATACTCCACAAGTGGGCTGCCACAGGCACTGCCTCCCATTTGGAGGGTAGAGAATAAAGAGTTCCTGTCAGAACACTCCACTTCAAAAGCCTGTTATCATACGTGTCAGGGACACAGTTCCTGAGTGTTGCTTGTCACCCTGCACTGCTGTTTCCTCTTTAACACAATAGGTTAAATGACTCCCATCTTGAGATCTGCTTACAAAAAGTGCTATAAACACAGAGGGATGACTGTTACTCCTTGACTACACGTGAATGAGGAAGTCTCTTCAAGAATAATCAAGCTACTTTAAGCTTTAAATTATGGTTTCCAACCCACAAAGTCTTACCTTTGCATTTTGGCAGCGACTCTGACCACTGTCCCTCCGCTGTGCATTCAATGCTGGACGGGCCATCCAGAAAATAGCCCTCACTGCAGTGGAAATGACAACCTGAGCGATAGGTGAGATCTGCAGGAGCATGGTCACAGGTCACAGAGCCTTCCTCTGGCCAGGTTACAGCCTCACACCTCACAGCTGCAACACACAGATCACAACAAAAATTAGCACAGATGCCTCAAGAATTCAGCATGCCAATGCCGACAAGCCCAAGTGCCCAGGTGAGCAGGGATGAGGAAAGGTACCTGCACAGGATGGCTGCTGCCTGTCCCAGGCCCCAGAAGACCCACACTGCAGTGTGGCTGGTCCTGTCAGGGTAAAGCCTTCCTCACAGGTGAACTCACAGGTAGTACCCCAGGTGAGCTCCACAGAGGGATGGGAGCAGTTCACAGCACCATGAGCAGGCATTTCTAAGGCAGGACAGGTCACAGCTGAAAAGTACAAGAGACAGCACAGATCTTAGCTTGGAACAAACAATAAAAAGTTTTATCTTTCCTGAAACTTAGCAACCTATGCACTAAATTCAAGCAGCTTTAGAAAGGAGATCTATGATGCCATTTCGGAAAGCAGATAGGAGTGGAAAGATCTCAAAATGGAAGACTGACTCTTAATGCAAGGCTGCAAATCCATCTGCAGCTCATGACAGCAACTAGTTACAATCCAAATTTTTCCCGTTTTGACTGCTGCTTGGTGATGTTTGATGCTTGACTTGCTTCAGAAAGTAGCTTATTCTAATTCCTACAGTCAGAAGTAACTGGCCTGTTGTGAGCAGTCTCACAGCTAGATCATCTCCATTCCCTGTTCCCCACTAAGAGGTGGAATTCTACAAAGAAATCTAGACCAGGACCAGAACATTCATGCTGCCCATTTAATCTCTTCAGGTACAGAGACCTGTGTGCTCCAATAAAATAGCACCTTCACCACATAATTAATTATAAAGGAATGGGCCAGAACTTCAGTTTGTACCTACTAACAAAGCAACACTGAAGTTTCAGAGCTATGTACAATGTAGAAAGCTATTTATCACTGCTTGAGAAGCTCACCTTTGCATTCTGCAAGGGGGGCAGACCAGATCCCAGAAGAGGTACAGTACACAGACTCCAATGCAGTCAGTTCATAGCCTTCCTCACACTGAACTGTGCAGGATGAATTGTAGCTGAAGTTCTCCAACGGATGGTTGCACTCGAGGCTCCCATGATAGGGTTGCTTTAGTGGATCACAACTCTCAACTTCAAAGAAACATGAGAAGGTACACAGTCTCATTGTCTGAGCAGGTAAATCAACAAGTCAGACAAACTGAACACCAGCTAGCATGAACATCACCCGGTTTGAAAAGTAGGATGGAGTAATCTTACCAAACTCGCATTCAGGCCCATAGAATCCAGGGTTACAATGGCAGGTGTGATTGTTAATAGTTTCTATGCATTCTCCACGGCCACTGCAGAGAGATGAGTTGCAAGAAGCTGGAAAAAAAAAATACAGCAAATTATAAAAGAATCAGTATGGCCACTAATGAAACCTGGCTAGTGCTTTATTTATCTTCCTGGCACTAAACAAGCACAGCAAAAGAAAAGCAGGGTGTTTGATACATAAGATTACCCTGTCATTTCACAGAAGTGTTTCAGACATCAGCACCTTTGACAGACTAGCTCAGAGTGAAAGGAATCTACTGGCAGGAAACTCCATGACCAGTTGTTCTCAGGTAGAGATTAGCATCATTTAAAATGCAAAAGGAACAATATACTATGGGGTAGGTAGAAATCCTCATCAGCTACATCCTTCATTAACTCACCACAGCTCTAATTTGGCTGATATTTTACTTGGATTTTTTTTTTTTTTTTTTTTTTTATCTAGCCTTAGCCACCTCTAAACAAAGTGCGTAATCTAATCCAGTGGTCTATAGTCAGCAGACAGGTGCCTCCAAAAGGGCCATTCTTATCTAGCTGAAACACCCACTTGAGAGTGGGATGAAAGTCACCATCTGGAAGAGCCTGTTTCTCTCCACTGATTATAGAGAAGGTCTGCTGATTTGGCCATAAAGAATGTACAATATTCTGGGAGCGAGAAAGTAAGCGAGATCAATCCAGCTCTCAGAACAAGACCAACCTCAGCCCTGTAAGCAAGGGTAAGTGTACAAGTGCTTACAGGGTTAGGTAGTTAATATGTAAGACCAAGTTAAACAACCCATCCCACCCACAACCTCGTCTCCACAGGGGGACGGCACATACCTGTGTAGCACAAAGCGACCTTCTTTTTTTCACACTGCTCATCATTCCATTTGCCATCATCCTTCCCTCTTTTGATGTAGATTTCAACACAGTCCTCGTTGTTCCCTTTGCCATTTGGCTCACCTGAAGCCCAGTTTTTTGCCTCTTCTGTCAGTTCTTTGTTAGTTCCAATCCAGGTCCATACCTCGTTAATTTTTCTGATTCCAATCCAGTAGTAACCCGGATTGAAGGGTAAGAAGTTATTGAGGTAGTTGATTTCCTCCTTATTCTGAATGGCAACCATATTAGTATACCTCTTTTTGCACCACAGCTCTGCTTCCCTGTACGTCATGTTTGTGTCTGAATAATGGTATGTCCAACAATTCGCCCTCTGCAGTATTGTAAGTCCTAGAATGAAAAGATGTCACAAGGTTGGTGTCTGACTTTTTCCCCTCCTCTCTCTCTAGAAGAGGATATATAAAGCTCTGTAAATAGTGCAAGCCTGTCAATATCTGAAACTGCATAAAAAGTGGTGGCAATTATTTTATAAACAATTAACTGGCAAGCTTCAAAACAGGCATGTCGGCATCAAGTACAGGGACTTCAGCCTGTGAAACCACAACCGATCACACAAAGCTTTGCAGACTTCATGGCTGGCTACAGGAGCCAATTATGTATTTGACAGGCAAGCAGGGAAACATGCCATTGGAGCTAGAAGTTTTTCTGTGTGAACCTAACCTCAGGCTGATTAGGTCAGGTTCAAAAATTTTGTTTAATTTGGAGCTTAAACAGAACAGGCACACCAATATTAACATTCAAGTAGTTTTCTACACAGAGACATACACACTTACCATAGGCAAGAAGAGACAGGAACCACAAGCAAATCATGTTTCTGAGAGCTTTCTCTCTATCTTTTAAGCAGATGGCTATGAAAGATCAAAGGAACATATTTGTAAAAAACAAATACTGACTTTTTACAATTCAATATAAAATATTGTCTAGGCAATCTTTTCTACATACTTTTAAACAATTATTCTAAGGACTTTAAAACAGTTCTTAATATCAAGATAGCTTTTAAATATAAGCAGCTTTTTAAGAAAAAGACAGAATTTCATCTGTCCGGTTTTTCTTTAGCTGAGCAGTGAGACAGAATAACACACTTCATTCATACTCACAGGTTGCAGTTGTGGTGGCCAGGTGGCAAAAGTCCTTTACGATAGTCCTCAATGACTGCTTTCTGTTGCTAAGTTGCTGAATACAAACTTGAAGTTTAAATTCAGCTCCAAGTGTCTGGACTGTCTAATCCTCTGCCTTTACTACGGCCTTTTATTCTCTCAACTGGCCTGTCCTCCACAAGACGGGAAATTCCACATGGAAAAAAATTTATTGGAAAATCCCAGGACCTGGCCCTCCCACACATTAAGCTTGATGCTTCCCCTTGCCAAATCAACCCTCTCACAAAGACACAGTGTGCTGACAAACTGCCAAGTCTGCATTACATAGTTTTACTGACAGAAACACACAATTCCAGGATATCAGGAAGGAGCAGGATGGTCAGTTTGAGTTAGATGCATGAATAAGCAGATTCCAGCTTTTCATGTAGCATGATGCTCTGCAGCAAGGAGGTGCCGGTTCTTTTGGGATCTCAGTAAGAAAGGCACCAACACTCAAAGTTTGAGTAAAAGATAGAAAGTGCAGCACTGGACAAGCCCTTCCTTGTGGATCACAGCACGCTGTGCAGAATTCTCCTTTGTGGTAAGGTTTGCCAGTCCGACGATTGCTAGTACTCTTACAGATTCTTGCTCACAACACAGATTCATCAGTCACTCGTAGCAGTCAAGCTTAAAATGCGGACTTAGCTTTTAAGAGTCCCTTGGACAACATGCTCCAGTATCCTTACTTCAATAGAGTTACAATTCCTGAGCAGGTGCATATAATATTTCAGGTGGACATGACAATACGCTAGTCTCATACTGAATTCACGTGCGTTTATTGTCTACAGTGTATACACTGATTAATTATACACTGCAGAGAGCAGTCACCTGGTGGCCATGGTATGGAGACCCACGCCTGAGTAATCACGGACACTTTGCTATCGTGGGTTGGTAAGCGGTCATGGGCTATTCAGAGCACACCTGTGTACATGAGAAGGCAGTAAGCATGAGGATTGCTCCTTGCACAATAGCCTTCTGGCTGCACCGCTACACAGCACTCCTTGATCCTCATGCACACCTTCACATGTACACCACCTCGGTGAGTGACTTGCCACTCCATGCCCAACAGTAGTTTTGGATATTCTCACTTAAGTCTCCTTCTCGCCTCTGTTACAGGAGATCTCACAAGTGCTGTTGAGGGCTATAAGCAGGGAAAGGGCATCACAAGTAACAGACACATTAGTGCATTTGTCAACCCTGTGCAAAGGCACAACACTAGGAACCTTCTCCCAGAGTCCACATCCCCCAGCACTCCCAACCCCAGAGTGGCATTATTCCCTTGCACCCTGACCAGCCATGTCAGCCCACCCCTTGCTCCACATCCACTCAGGCACTTACTGTGGAGACGCCACCAGACAGTCCAGTTGCCAAACTGGTATTCTAGACAAAGATTTACCATTATGGGTGAGGTTTAATGAGGGTCAAAATTCATAGGACTCAAGAGGGGTTGTCAGTGATAGGAGGACAGTGGTAACACCCACTTAATTTTTGGAAAGCATAGTTATAGCTCATACAGTGCATACGGGAGCTCTTACTGTGGAGCCTCAGCCTGTTCTTACACAATAGAAATCTGTGCCTTCTAGATCCCAAGCTAGGATCTGAGCTGGTATCAATTCCCAATTTTTTTAACAAAAAAAATAATTGTCAAGTAGCCATACCTTAACAGATCTCTGCCCATCAAAGGAATCCATCACAGAAAAGAGGACAGAGTAAAGAGTATATTCTAAAACAACCTCAGTTACTACCAAAGTACCAAAGTTTTTTCCTAAAACATTGATCAGCTGTTATAACTGTATACACAGAAGAATTACAGACAATTCCAAAATATTTTATATTCTGTGGAGCCAGGAGGCAGAAAGTCCTACACCTTTTCCTGGAGATTCACTTTTCCAAGTAATTTTATGAGCTTCCTACTGGTAAGCGCTCATCCTTGTCATGGCAGAAGCTCCTCTGAAATTGAGTGGAAGAAACTTTATCAGAATTGCTTTCCCAGTGGAATCTCCGGAGGAAGGAAGAGAGCGTTTCACAGTTTACAACAGTCTTCCTTCACAGGGGCTGTCCGAGACCTCTTGTCTGCAGCAGATAAAAAAAACCACACAAAAAAAAAAACAAAACACCAAAGCCTAAAAGCAATACGCCTGTAAAAACTCCAGCCTAAAAAAAGACTGCCTCTTTTTGTTGGCAGAGTTCCCTTCTGCATCACGGGCATGGGGCTCTTTTTGGTTTTTCCCAGGGAATTCTGCCATCCACCAATTATATTTTTATCTCCTTTTAATATAATGGAAGATGAATACAAACTCAAAATTTTCAGAAAAAAAAAAGGCATTTTCAAAAGCACATAACTGAGAGGTTAAAATCTCATTATTAAAAGTCAAAGGTACTTAAAAACTTTAACCTTGTTCAGGAAGACTGGTATTCCTGTGAGTTAAAGCTCATATTGAATCCTAAATTACATACATATTTCAGGAAAAATACCTCTGATACTGTTACTCAGGCTGAACTGCAGATATTCAAGCTAGAAATGCCATCCAGCCTGTCTCTTAACTGGTTTCCATGTTACTGATTTATTATTTTCTCATTGTTATTTCAGATTTGTGCTTTTTTTTCCTTCCTTTGCAAACTGATTTGAGAACACAAGAACCTCATTTCTTGTGCTGCACTGAGCTGGGTGCAGTTGTCCACTCCCCGCTTGCGCTACATGAACACACAGTTCCACAAAATTAATTCAATTCCTCTCTGACAAAAAAATGTGATATTCTAAACCTAAATCAAGTCAAATTTTTAGAAATACTGAACACTTCTTATTCCTATACACTCCAGACCTTCAATTCCACAAGTGAAAGCCCAGCTTTTTACAAGTGAATTGTACTACTCCAGCTCACGTCTTTCCCCCTACAAACAGAGGTGCCTAACAGGGATTATCTAGCAGCAACTAATTTTCCAGTTGGAAGGTTTACTTGATAGGCCACCATGAGACATAAAAGATAGGAGAAGGATATATAAAAACATTAGGATTAAGAATAACAAAAACCAGTCAGGTCTGCTATTAAAAGAAGGACAGCAAATGGTAGAAAACACATCAAATGTAATTTCTTTCTATCCTGAGAGAAGTTAACAGACACTCACTGGGAAAAGAGAACAGGTCAGAGTACGGAAAGACTGGAGTGAAGACTATTTAGGTTAGTTACAGGCAATCAAGTTACTGTTTAAGGATCTAAACCCTTTGAGAGTACAGGGAAAGGTGTCAGAGGGCTGACAAAAAGCAATATTGCCTCTCTGAATGTAGGAAAGGAAGGTGATGAGAAGCCAGGCCTTCCTTCCACATGAGCACCTCGAAAAGATACTAGAACCATACAGAAAAATTGTTAAAGAAAAAAATTGAAAAATCAGCAGAAGACTACTAAGCTGTCAAGAACAGCTGACATTGATACGATTGATTTCTTCTTGGCAAATCAATGTAGTTTGTACTTCAAGGCTGAGTGAGTAAAAAAGAAACAACAGTGGGCTGCAGTTTGCTCTAATTAAGACTTTTAATATTGTCCCATGAGACATTCTTACAAGCAAACAATTGAAGTAGTGCTTAGCTGAAATCACCATAAATGAGCATGCAAGAGATGCAACCACTACTCAAAGGGCAGTTTTTCAAAGATCACTGTGTCTGAGAGGACTATACAAATGAGCCCTGTAAGGGCTTATCCTGGACTGATTTGAGCTAATTTAAGTTGGATGGCAAATTATTACCTAAAATGCTTAGAAAATTTACAGATGAGATTACACTAGGCTTTAAGAAATTGCAAGAGTTCCAAAGGGCCAATGTAGGACTCAAAGATTTTGATAAATTAGAGATGTGATCCTAAAGAAACATGGACAAACCAATAGAAACAAGCACAATGGTCTCAATCTTAAAAAAAAAAACTAAACAAAACACCACACACCAAACAAACATGCACGATACAAAACATAGAAATGAACTGAGAAACTGCTGGCTAGGCAGGAGCATGGTAGAAGAGGAACTTGGAGTTAAAGCAGATCACAAATTCAATATGGGTATAATGATTTGTTGTCATTTTAAAAATAGGAAATGCTGTTCTGATACGTATTACGAGGAATGCTTTGAGACAAAATTTGCAATTATTCCATCCAATCTGCTATTGTCAGATCTCTTCTGGTATATTGTACCTAATCTTAAGCACCACAATTTTAGAAAGCTACAGGCAGACAAAACAGAATCAAATCCTGAGCAACACAGTCAATAATTTTTTTACAATGAGATCAAAGCGTTTTTGCTCTTTTGGAAAAGAAACTAGGACCATCCCATACAATCTTGACACCCTGCACTATTTACATCACAAAACAAACAAAAAATTCAAGATTTTCTGAATTTATTTCTTATGAAGACTCTCATTTTGTTTGCTTCCCTGAAAACATATATGAATGCTTGTCTGACTTGTAAGGAGATGGTAAGTGATCTAATCTTCTGACCTATCAGCTCTCCACAGATCACAGTTCAAGTAACACATGCTCAGAAAATACAGGCTTACATGCAAACACCCAAGGCATTTAACTGCTTTATTCCCACCCTGCTGTAGAAAAGGATGTTATAGGAAAGAAATCTATTCAATCTTCTAAAACCTAAAGGCATTTTAGAGTACTTAGGAGGCATGTGATGAACAA